GGATTTCTCATTGTGAACCGTGAACCTCTGGGAACACAAGAGACCCAGGAAAAAGGTGTGAGAGGTCGAAACTACTTTCATCAAATGAAAAACATAATCTCCTTTGTTCATTTTGTTGACATTTGCAAAATTAATAACAGCATAGTGATCAGGAAAACTTCTGGTGTGGTCTAAGAAGCCCCAAACTCACTGTCATTGGGCCCATTTCCACTCCGTGACCCTACTGGACAAAATAGAAGTTTCTCTTAAGTTTCCAAAGCTGTTAGTTTGTATGCATGCCAATTGTCACATCTTTCTCCCTGGAAACACCTGATGAGTTTGAAACATGATTGGGCTAGCTCTGAGTACAGAAACCACTGTGCTACCTGGGTTTCTCAAAATGCGTGTCCTCTTGGCATAGATCAAAACAAGGCTTCCAAATGATTTTAGCAGTCAACGTATTCTTCACTGCCATACACCCAGAGAAAAAATAAAGATGGCAATTTCACTTAAAAGTAAAGAAACTTCTTTAAGCATTGAAATTATCCATTGTATTAAATTGAGGCCCTTTTCAATGTTCTGTCAGATGAACTGTGAAGTAAAACCTTGTCACACTGCAATATAAAAACAATGAACCACTGCTATACACTGAAGTTTTGTTTATCTTTAAGTCTTAGGAAAGCATATGTGTGATTGTTAGAGTTGCAAGCTGAACTAGCCAGTTTGTTTACGGAACATGAAATTAACATGAAAGACTAATCAGCAAGTAACTAAGATTTTTATAGACGAGTATTTGGCAGCACCTTTTTTTTTTCATGAACAAATAGAGCCTGGCTCTTGAAGAACAACCAAGAATATATCTTGCTAATCACAAATTTTGAGTTTTCATGTGAAAATTCAGATTTTAGAAAACTTCTATCACCATGATGTAGAGTCCCAATATTTCAATTTGTGATAATACTAGCAAATATGAGTCTTGATATGGTATAATGAAATATGTCTATCCCTGAAAGAGGTAGTATTTTACTTTCACTGAATCAGTATTTTCAAAATGAGCAATTCATGATGTTCTAAGCCATGTTTGATTTGATCTCTTCAAAATGTATGATACTCCAATGTGTTTTTATGTTAAAAAGAGTAGGAACAGTTTACAATGATGGATTTAGATTCCATGTGGTAAAAACATTTCAAGACACTGACATTTGCTAATTTCTGGAGTAATATAAAAATAACTTACAACTATCTGGAAAATATTTTAAATATTACCCCCTTATACAGTCCCTTGAGGAGCCCTGGTGGTGTACTGCTTCCATGTGCGGCTGCTAGCTTCAAGGTGAGCAGTTCAAAACTACTACCAGCCACTCTAAGGAAGAAAGACTGGGATTTCTACTCCTGCAAAGAATGTAAGTTTCAGAAACTTACAGGGGCAGTTCTGCCTTGTCCTATAGGGTCAATATGAGTCAGAATTGACTCGATGAGGGAGGTTTTTGATTTTATTTTAATCAGTTCCATTTATCTATGTAAGATTGGGTCCTATTTCATATGCATTAACAAATACGCCTTGTCACGCTTGACTGAGTGAAGACGTTTTGAGAATTCAGCTGCATTCCACTGTCATAGATCCAGGAGACTTGCAAAGCTGTAAAATGATTTGTCTCTTTTAATTATTAGTTTTCTACTCTAACAAAATACTTTTTTCATAAAATGTAAATATGACAAAGAGTTTAATGAAGTTCTAATTGAGCTAAGAATAAATGTTTTATGGCTTTTTCTCAGTTGCTATCCTTTAATGTTAAATACTAATGGACAAAACTCACCTACAAAGAGGTCCCTTGAGGTTCTTCAAAAAAATTTTAAGAGTATAAAAGGTCGTGGGACGAAATAGTTTGAAGATTGCAGCCATGAAGGCAGCCTAAAGGCATATATTTTGCTTCTTCCTATTGAAACTGTCAGCTCCATGTCAGACTATCCACTCAAGCTTCTTTGGACTTTTCTACCAAATTTTAGTTCATCTATAGAACATTTCATTGATAAGTCAAACTTGATCTGACATCAACTGGTTTTACTTTTAAAATTCCACTCCTAATCAAGCTCATATCTGCTAATTCTGTCCACTTCCACTATATTGATTGATTCCTGAGGCACAAGCACACGCATAGTTCTGGTCTTCCACTCTCTCATTCAAAAAACATGTACTGAGCGCCTGTCAGGTTCAGGTAATATACTAGGTCTCTAATGAGGTCCAACCAAGTCCTTAAATTGCATATTTGTATACAGCACACAGCAAAAGAGAAAGGCATATTGAACTACCATGTCTATATTGCCCATTAAACCTAGAAATATGGCACAAACTTAATATGGGCTATCCTAAAATACTCAAGACAAAACACTCTCCTCTACAGAAAGTAAAGAGGTGCAATTAAAGGATTATTAACCTTGGGCACTCCAGAACCATCCTTTAAAGGCACTGCTATGCCAGTCACAGTTTTAGATGGAAAAGGTAGGGCGAGTCAAGGAGTACAAGGACACAGATCTCTGGAACGAGCACGATTAAGATCGCAGTCCTCAGCCAAAGGTTACAACCCTCCTTCCCAAAGGTTACCGCTGAAAAGGCAGGCAGATTAAACGGACCCTCTCTTTCCCATTGACCCTCTGCTTGCCCATGGAATGTGCTCAGCCAAGACTATGGCTAGAAACCTGAGTAAGCAACCCCGATGCCCCTCAGTGCACATGAAGAAATTTGGGGAGGGAAAAATGCACTGGAACAAAGTCTACACTTAGAAACGAACAATAAAAAAATCACCTCTGACGATCGGAGGTAATTTATAACTGCTCCCCCCTCCCCCAATCAAGGTAAATTAGTGATGTTTGAGCAGAAGGAAAAGAGGACTTTATTGTATATGCTTGAAAGATACTGGCAATAATAATATGATATTCTAGCTGGGAGCTACTGCTTTCAATGTTCTTTGGAGAAACACATTTGCTTTTAATTTTAGGAGTGGTTGGAGCTTGGGATCTTAAACTTGGCTAAAATTTCTGCACTTTAGTTCACAGAAGATACCCTGACAAACATTTTGTATTTCTTTTCTTTTTTTAAGGAAACCATAGTATTGGATTTCACCCAGCTTTTTAAAGGAAGAGTACCATAAATATGAACAATAACTTCTAGTTTCTATTAACTACATTTTAAAGTGTAAAATATTTTTAAAAATATATCATCCCCTGTTACAAAAAATATGTATATAATTGTGATTTTCAATCCCCATGCCTATTGCAATACCAGCACAACTTCACATTTAGGCTAAGCCAATATTTTCCCATTTAATGAATATACAACAAGACAAAACAAATCTCATGATAACAGCATATGCTCATTCTCTTTCTACACTGAAAAAAAATCGACTAACAACATAAATTGCTTTACAGCTAAACAAAGTAATCTCGAATTTAGAAACACTGGTGTCTGTCTTCAATACACATTTTGGTTTTCAAAATGAGCAAGACTTTTTGTCTAAAATATTACTCCTGAGTAGGAAGGTAAAAATAGGGCTTAACTTTGGGGAGAGGGGTCATTCCAAATCAAAATAAAATCACATGCAGAGCACAGTCCATGTCAAACAAAATAACTCAATATGCAAGACATAGGTTACGATCTTAAAACAGTAACTAGATAAAAGAGATTACTTGGCCTAGACATCCCTTCATGGATATAGCTACATCTATGTAGATACATATAGAGATAGAGATATATAGCTATATATAATGATGATATCTTTTAAGCCCTGAATATGCACTTTCTATAAAACAGGCATAACTATTTATTATGGGAGGAAAAAAAGAATCACTAGGAATTAAATAATAATGATAACTGACCGTTTTCAATGATGAACATTCCGTACTTAAAAAAAAAATTATACAAGCAAAGAAAGCAAGGAAACAAACACATGAGCCTCGATTTCACTAGCATGTTGTTGTGTCTGGGCCACTGCCAAGTATCACAAACCACATTTGATATTTTGTGTTTTTGGCTAGTGGCACTAGAATGTCTTTGAGAGCAGTGGAGAGGGAGAGAAAGAAGGGATTCAGAAAATGGTAAACAAGCATTTACCATAGAATTGCTCTATCATTTCAAGTTGATTGTCAGAACAATATTGGAAGTCATTCAATAAAAAAAAAATATGTCAAGGATACATGAAAGCAGTGGCCTAAAATATACCCCAGGGAAAGCTGAGCTTAGAATGCTTTTGGCTTACACTCTGAAACATGAATTTCTTATCCATCAGCAGACAGAACAAAATGTACCTATACCTTGGCATTTGACAACACAGTTTTGTCTCCAGAAATAGTTTCTAATCTCCGATCATTCAAAGCACACTCTTGCTTTAGTTCAGGGGGGAATAGAAAGGAATACCCCAAATCAGAAGACAGTCTCGCAAATGTGAAGGCAAATGAAATCGGGAATCTTCCCCAAGCTTGGCTCAGCACATTAAAATTAGTCACTGTCTATTGAGAAACTGCCAAGACTGCTGAAGGCTGAAAGTTAATACTGTCCCGATGTAAGAATGCCAGCCCTTCCTGCTTGGCCACTCCCACCCCCAGAAAGCTATGGTGTCATGATGATTTCTATCAGTGTTTTTCATTTTGCAGCAGGGACCCCTTAATTTTGAAATGCCCATCCCCTAATAGACTTCCTTACTTGAGTTTGGTTCAGTGAGTGCTTTAGCTTATATAAGCAGATTTATTTTTTTCTGCATTCCTAAAATGAACTGTTTTCTCCCCAGTCTTCTACACATGATTCCTCTGAGGTGAAATGCTTATTTGCTTTTGACCAGGACTCAAGCTAGCTTTGGTGTAATCTTTGTTCGCTTTTGCAACAGAACCATTTCATGTACTCCTCTTTGTCACAGGAATAACACACAATAAGGGTAAGCATCGCAGAAAGGGACTCGAAGGAGAACGACCCTGCTCAAAGGCACACCAGTCACCAGTAAATAATAAATAAATAACTGCAAAATCATTACCTCTGCTCTCTGGGTTCTGGGAAAAGCGGTTGATTTTTCTATGGCATAAACATCCACCAGGTATAGGCATGCTCCTTGCTCCCGGTCCAGAATGGCTGCAGTCTGAATGATGCCTGTAAGTCGTCCAATGGTAAATAGACGCCCCACAGTCTTTTCCTCACAACGAACCGAAACAATGTAATACTCCACGGGGGCTTCAGACCCCCTAGGGCTGGCTGCTTCTATGGAGATTACATTGGTGCCAATGGGTTCACCTTCCTTCAAAATAGTAATGTATTTCGGTTGAGTAAACACAGGTCCATCAAGGCCTTGAAGAATGACTGTCAATTCAGTGGTTGACTTTTTCCTTTCAGGGCCAAGGTCTGTTGCTGAAACTATGAGATTGTAGATCAGCTGTGACGGTACCAGTGAGGAAGCCACTCTCAAGTCTCCACTGTAACGATCCACAATAAAGGTGTCCATGTCTCCATTGATGATCTCATATTCCACCTCTCCATTGGCACCTTCATCAGGATCCGCAGCCATAATTGTTGTTAGAACAGAGCCAATCACAGCCGAAGGGTCTGCAGCCAGGGCATTTTGTGATATAAACATTGGGACGTTGTCATTGAGGTCTGTAACCAGGATGGTCACGTTTTTCAAAGCATACCGCCTGGTTTCTATAGGTACAGCTTGATCATTGGCTTTTACGGTTAACTCAAAGAGATTAGCAAATTCCCGATCGATTTCAGCATTTGTATAGATCGTCCCTTTGACTTCATCGATGCCAAAGTGGTTGCCTCTTGGCATCTGTTGAATGATCGCGTAGGATAGCTGCCCATTAATGTCTGCATCAGGGTCGTGTGCAGTCACTGAAATGACGGATGTGCCAATGGGGATGTTCTCAACAATAGACTTGAAAATATCCCCAGATGGAAAGCTAGGTGGATTGTCGTTGAAGTCCCTCACTTGGATAACCACCGACATTGTTGAGGAACGAGGAGGTCTTCCTCGATCTTTTGCTGTTATATTTAATTTGTACAAAGACTGGGTTTCAAAGTCCAGTTTTTTGGCAAGGAAAATACTCCCAGTATTCGGGCTAATGCTAAAAGTCCCATGGTTGTTTGTCCCACTAATACTGTATTGTAAATCAGCATTGTCACCAGAATCTGAATCCGTCGCAGTAACGGAGGACACGAGTTCACCAATTCTCATGTTTTCCAAAACATCGACAAATAATGTTGACTTAGGGAAAGAAGGGGTATTGTCATTTTCATCTAAAATATCAATATTTAAGGTACAGGTTGAGTTGAGGGAGATGGTCCCTGAATCCACTGCTTGAATAACCAGGGAGTAGGCAGGTGTTGCTTCATAGTCTAATTTGCCAATTAGTGTCACCTGACCAGAAGCACTGTCTATTGCAAACTGTCTTTCTTCATTTCCTTTTATTACAGAGTAATGGATAAGGCCATTATTACCTTCATCAACATCAGAGGCAGATACCCGTAAAACCTGAGTCAGGTTGGCGGCTGATTCTGATATTGTAGCTTGGTAAAAGTCTTTCACAAACTTGGGAGCATTATCGTTTATATCTTTCATGTAAACATGTACAGTAGCCTGATCCTTAAGAGGCTGGGGAAGCCCCTGATCCGTTGCTATAACTATAAAGCTAAACACAGCAGTCCCTCTCCGTCTCATCAGAGCCTCCCTGTCAAACTGATGGGTATTTGTAATCGTCCCACTGATTGCATGCAACTCAAAATCTGGCTGCACCATTTCAAAAGAATACCTGACTTCTCCATTTGGACCAAAATCTTTATCGACAGCACTCACTTTACCCACAAATGACCCAGACCTCTGCTCCTCTTCAAAGTAAAATGTATAGTTGGTGCTATTAAAAAGAGGTCTGTTATCATTTACATCTTCTAAAATGACAGTAACATTCACAGTAGCACTAAGGGGTTCCACTGCTCTGTCAGAAGCAACAACCAATAAAACATATCTGTCTTGAAGTTCACGGTCCAGTTCACTTTTTATGTACAATTGACCATCTGGGAAAATGCCAAATGCCTCTCCCACATTCCCTTCAGCAATGCTGTATGCAATTTCACCATTGGCTCCTGAATCTTGATCAGAAGCTTGCACTTTAAAGAATCGAGAATTCACAGGTTCTGACTCAGAAAGTGTGACCTCATAAGAAAGTTGCTCAAACACTGGGGGGTTGTCATTTACATCATGGACATACACCGTTAAGATGAAACTAGAGGACAGCTGTGGAACACCCATATCGGATGCCACGATCTCTATCTGATAGGAACCGGCATGAACATCCAGGGGCCCTAGCAGACCAAGAGTACCATTTTTTTCATGGATAGTGAACAGGTTCTTGGGGTTTTGCTTCAGGCTATAGAGCACCATGCCGTTGACACCTTCATCAGGGTCCACAGCTTTGGCTTGGAAAATGCTGTGCCCCGCCTGCCAATTCTCCACCACATTGACACTCTCTACTGCCTGAAGAAAATGGGGAGAGTTGTCATTCAAATCCTTCACGGTTATGTTAACCACAGTATCTCCAGCCACGGTGCCCCCACTGGCAACTACTTTCAGCTGGTAAAAGGATTGCTCTTCTCTGTCAATGACACTTGCTGTGGTAAGCTGCCCTGTGGCCTGGTTGATAGCAAACATACCTTTCTGATCCCCAGTAGTGATGAGATAACTGATGTTGGAATTGAGATCCATGGTGGATGCGGACACACGACCCACATGATATCCCAAAGCCACATTCTCAAAGACTACGAAGCTGTAGGCAGCCTGGCTAAACACGGGGGGATTGTCTTGAGTGTCCAAGACCGTGATGGTCACGATTGCTTGGTTGGGGGACTGTAAATTGCCACCATCAGTTGCCACTATTTGTAACTGATAAGCTGTCTTTTCTTCTCTGTCCAGCGCCATCCTTGTAGAAATGACCCCACTCAGCGCATTGACCTGAAACCGAGATCTGTCCCCAGCTGATATGCTGTACTTGACAGTCCCATTGGAACCCAAGTCCGGGTCAGTAGCAGACACTGTGGTGATGTAGCTACCTCCGGGCTCATTCTCCTGAATATGAGCAAAATATTGGACTGGGTAGAATACTGGGCTGTTGTCATTTAGATCCAGGAGAGTGACATTTATATGAGTCATCGATGACTGGGGAGGAGAACCCAGATCTGTTGCCAGCACCAACAGAGAGTAGAAGGCTTGCTCCTCTCTGTCCAAAGAGGAAATAGTACTCAACCTCCCGGACACAGGATCAAGACGGAAGGACCTCTTGTCAGTCTCTGCCTCTTGGAGGGAGAATCGCACTGTCCCATTGTCACCCAGATCTCCATCTGTGGCCCCAAGCACCAGCAGTTCAGTCCCTGTGGGGGCGTTCTCAACTACAGACACAGCATACCCTTCTGGTTGGCTGAACACTGGCTTCTCATCATTCACATCCAGGAGAGTGACCACGAGCTGGGCATAGGAAACCTTGGGGTGAACGCCCTGGTCCCTGGCACTGATGTTCAATACAATCTGAGAAGCGAGCTCACGGTCCAGGCCCCCAGCAGCCCCCGTGGTCACCAGGCCGCTGTGTTCACTGATGTGGAACCAGCCTAGCCCATTGCCCGAGACAATGCTGTAACGCAGATTGGCATTGAGGCCAGAGTCGCCATCAGTGGCAGACACTCCACTCACGTAGCTTCCCGGGGGCGCCTCCTCACTCAGGTTAACTCTGCACACTTGCTGTGTAAAGACAGGAGGGTGGTCATTGATGTCGTTGACAAAAATCACCAGGCTTGCCACGGAAGAGCGTCCCTGGACCGCGGAGGCAGAGGGCGCCCCGTAATTATCAGAGACAGAGACTGTGAGGTTGTAGGAAGGGATGCGTTCGCGGTCTAGGGGGCTGGCCACCTTGATGAGGCTCAGGTTGGGCACCCTGCTGCTCTGCACCTCAAAGTGGCGCTGCTCATTGCCCCCGAGGATTTGCACCGAGATGTTTCCGTTGGCCGCGGGGGAGTCTGCGTCGGTCACTGTGAGCAGTGCCACCACGGTGCCCACCTGAGCGTTCTCATCCACGGAGGCATAACGCGAAGTGGCTGGGAAGTAGCGAAACTTCACCACAGGGTCATTGTCATTGACGTCCAGCAGCTGGATCAGTGCCTCGGCGCGCCCTGTGAGGGAGGGCACGCCTCTGTCCATGGCCTGCACCGTGAGTGAGTACTGGCGGCGGGCCTCAAAGTCCAGAGGCTCCCGCACTGTGATAAGTCCCGATTCGGGGTCCATTTGGAAGGGAGTCCCCTCGTCCTGCAGCCTATAGCGGATGTCCGCATTGGTGCCCTCATCGGCGTCCGCCGCTGCCACCTGGAGGACGCTAGAGCCTACAGCCGCGTCTTCAGGCACCCCCGCCTGGTAGTGGGAACTGCCAAAAACCGGGGGATTGTCATTAATGTCTTGCACAGTCACGTTTACCTGAAGGTAGCCCCGCCGCTTGGGTTCGCCCTTGTCTTCCACCTCGACCAAGAGATGATACTGCGGCGTGGCCTCCCTGTCCAGCCCGCCCTTGGACACCAGATGCAGGAAGGCACCCTCGCCGCTCGGGTTCAGGGTGACGTCCAGACGGAAGCGGCCCGCCTCGTTGCCCCGGATGATCCGATAAGAACGGTGGTCCACACCGTTGGAACCGATGTCCGAGTCAGTGGCTGTATCCAAGATGACCTGGCGCCCGCTGCTGCTGTCCTCCTTGAACGAGACGACAATGGAAGGGTCCGGGAAGACCGGGGCGTTATCGTTGAGGTCCCGCACCAGAACTCGCACTTCCGTGGGGTAGGTGGGCGCGCTGGACAGAACGACCAGGTTGATCACGTCGCTAGGCAGGCGCTCTCGGTCGATGGTGGCCGTGGTGTACAGGGCTCCGGTGCTCCCATTGATGGCGAACAGGGCGTGGCTTTCGCTGAGCCGGTAGGTGAAGCCCGGGCGCGTCTGGATGGCGCCCACCAGCGTGCCCGGGGGTTGCTCCTCCAGGACCTGGAACACCTGGCGCTGCTCCGCCCCGCGGACCCACGCCGGCCCCGGGAGCACTGAGAGCAGCCAACAGACGCGCAGAAAGCCGAGCGCCGACATCGAGGGCAGCGGGGGCCACCGGCGGCCAGGAGCCCAGTCCACTGCCAAGTCCATGGTCCTGGCTACTTGGGAGGGGTCAGCCAAGGGCAGGATAGCGACGCGAATTCAGTAGCCGGAGGGGAAGACGGAGAGAGAGGGGGGAAAAAGAGGGGCGGGGGGCTGGTGGCGAGCAGCCAAAGACTCCTTCTGAGAGCTGTCTTCCAAACACACGTCCAGTTCAGCCAAGCAAGTCCGAGGAAAAGAAGGCTCCAGGTCGGCCGCGGAAGGCGGGATTCCCGATAGCCGGAGGGGCTAAAGGTAGCAGCGCGTTCCGCGGGATTCTGCAGGAAGCCCCTGAAACTTTCTCAAACCGCGCCTCTTTCCCCCTCGCCTTCCATTGGAATCTCGAGTCCCGCGCCTTTCTCCCGGTGACTGCGAGGTCAGGGATCCAGCCTGGAGGGCCACTCCCCGGGGAAGCACGGCGAACAGCTCTCGGCACAAACTTTCCAACTTACCCGGGGCGAGGACGCAGCCGGGAGACCGGGTGGGAAAGGCGACGGCGAAGTGTGCAAACACACTTGCGCCCCCCGAGCGGGGCGGTGGAGAACCCGGAGTCGGGAAGCCCTCGCCCCCAAACGCGAGAGCAGCGGTTTCCTCGAGTTCCCTCTCCGGGAGGACCAGGCTGCAACGCCCCTCCAAGCAGCCGGCAGCCCGGGCCGCCCAGGCCGGGCGGCGGCGTCTTCTGCGACCCGGCTTCGGTGCGCGAGCGTCGGCGCGGGGGCTCCGACCCCGGGGAGTGCTCAGCTCCGTCCCTTCTCCTCCAGCAAGCCCCGCCGCCGCGGCCCGGCCAGCGGCTCGGTGCCCGTCGTGGGGCGCAGGCAGCAGCCGGCGCGCCTCGGCATTTTTCACCTCTGCCGGGGCGCCCGCGGACCCATTATTTGTACATCCAGCGCGAGCGCAGGTCGCCTTCGCTTCTCGGCCTGTCGAGGGTCCGGCAAGAGCAGCGTGCGCTTCCCCGGGACGGTCCCCTCACCCTGCCAGGGGTCGGGGCCCAGTCTCCGGCTGACCCGGTGGGAAGCCCACTCTCGTGCGCCGCGCCCCAGCCCCCGCAAGCGTTGCTTTTATTGTCCTGTGTCACTTTCACTTTGTAATCCAGCAGGCTTTTTGTGGGGGGCGGGGGAGCGGGGGTGCCCCCGGTCGCCCTCCGGGTCGGCGGGGGAGGGGGCAAGGCGGCGCGGGGCTGTGCGGCGGCCGCGGCAGCTCGGGACGCCGCCTGTCAGCGCTCCGCTCCTGGCCCGGCGCGGGCGAAGGGTGCACTGCGGGCTGGAGCCAGAGCGCACAGAGACCCTCGCAGCCTCCCACCGGTGCCTCGCTCTCTCCCCGCCCCTTTCCCGCCGCCCGCGCGCGCGCACACACACACACACACACACACGCGCGCGCACACTCACGCGCGCACACGCACCCAACGCGCCGTCGTAACTCTAACGGGGCGGGGAGGGAAGAGCGCGCGCCGGACGGCCAAACTTTGCTCGCCGCTCATTGATCCCCGCGCTTGAGTTCGCCAGGACGCCCCAGGGCTCCCAGCGCTGTCACCTACCGCCCCTCCCTCGGCCCCGCCCCATTGGGCCGGCGCGGAGCGGCCCCGCCCGCCACTCTCCCCGCCTTCCAGCCCCTCCCCCCCATGCTAATCACCCCCCTCCCGGAGGCGGTCCTGCGCGCAGCCGGGGAGGCGGAGGCTCAGTGAGGGGTGGGGGGTGTTGCGGGGTGGGGGGTGGGGGGGTGTCTCTCTCTCTCTCTTTTTTGGTCAAATCTTGGCCGGCGTCACAGCCATCAGAGCACAAGGCTGCCGCAAAATGGATGGGGGTGGGGTCAGGCTGGCCGATAAATAACTTTGGTGTCGGGGTCTGGGGTAGGACCGTTTAGTTGTTGTGCTAGTAATAACTCAGGGGTAAGGGGGTCGTCGAGAGGAATAAAAGAAAGGCGGGGGGCACGGGGGTCCGTTCGAGGGAGGAGGAAGGATTAAGCCAAGCCTGTCTGGGAATGCACGGCGCAGAGTGGCGTTAACCATTTCCTGGCCCCTTTCTTTCCTAAGGAGTAGAGGGAGCTGCTGGCCCGAATGATCCCACAGCTTCTCAATCCAACCTTCCTTATTCCGTTTCGAGAGGATCCACTGAGCTGCTTGGCAGCCAAGGGTGAGCGCAGCCCGCCACAGGCACCCCTTGGCCCTTCCCCCACCTTCCAGGTGACTCTGGGCCCCCGGGACTCTGGGTTCCCTGCGCGCTAGGGACTTCCTTCAGGACAAACCAGGGGGGACTCGGTGTTTGTTTTGTTTCGTTTTCCTTGAACTGGATCCCCGGTGCCAGAAGGCGAACCTTGGGGTTTCAACAAGAACAATGAAAGTCCCTTGGAACAAGAGAGATCCTTTCCTGTTGCAGTTGGTTTGGAATTTCGATTCCCAGTGGGGTTACCCACCACCACCATCACCCTCCCCATGTTGTAGCCAAAAGAATGCTAACGAAAGTTTGTTTGGTTTTAGGTTTTCCAGAGGACGGATAGATGTGAGAAAAACTGAAATAACGAAATGCAAATTTAAATGTTAAATGTCCAAGGGCCACACGTACGGAGCTCGATTCAATTTCTGTAACACACTCTAGCTAGCTGATTTTGTGGGCACACTTTGCGTCTCTGAAAGAAGAAAGAAAGAGTACGAATCAGGTCAGTATTTTTTCCTTCAAGGGAAACAACATAGAAAATAAGAATTTCAGGCAAACAATACGAAATGTAGGGCATATGTCATACATTTCTGCCACAGTGACCCCTCGAAATTTAAAACTTTTCTGCACCCAACTATAGTTCAAGCATGGGTAAACATTGCCCTCTGCTGTTGCCTGTCAATACTACAACTTGACTTGCTTTTCTTTCTTCAATTGGATGCAGACTCAGAAGTATCTGGTTACCAGGCTAATTCCTCATTCTTGCCTGGAGATAGTGGAAAAGAAAAAAGATCCTTTGGGATCTCTTAGTACCTCTCCTTATTGAAGGTAAAATATTAATCGGAAGAAGACTAACCACAAGGCAGACAACAAAATCAGGTCCTGATCATGCAAACAGCCTGTATCACCCAAATCCGACATATAAAATCTAGTTCTAAAACTATTGTCACCAATTCCTTTGTTTAGATCAGTTCATTCACTTCTGCAGAGCCTTTCTCTGTAACATAATAATGAGTGAACTGGTAACAGACTAGAACATTAATTTAACCCTTTATTTTTCAAATTGTTAAAATACTGAAAACCTTAGAGGCTATTTTTAAAAATGCATTTTTAAGCCTTTAGTCAAAATCTTCCCTCTACTAGCAAGTTATCCTCTTTTGTATAATTATTTTGGTATAATTTCACCATGAAAGATTTTTAGATGAATTAAAATGAAGCTGATATTTTCACACATCATTGTTACATGTGATTTTTAAGTAGTACTCTTTTTGTGTGTTTGGATTGTTTAATGCCCTTGAGTCGTAACTCCAAATCCTAGCATCCTGGTATACAACAGAACAAAAGACTGCCAGGCGCTGCTTTTTTTTGCTAATGTAGCATAATTCAATCTTCTGAAATATCCATCCAGATACTCAGATATTAATTACAGATGAGAGCTTGTGTAGACAGTGTGTGGAGTAACCTTTAGATTTAGTCTTTTTGTTAAGAATTGCGTTCTTTATGAGTGAACTTATTTTAGTAGGTGGAAATCACTCAGTCAAATCTGCAACCTTGAGACTGTTTAATCTGGGCATCACAGTGTTTTACTTTTTAAAGATGAGATGTAGCTAAACAAATACATAATACAGACAATATGTACATATTAAGGGCATAGAATATTTTGGGGTCAATTCCAAAAGAAGATTATCAAAACATATGTAGCTGGTGTTAAAATTATTTGAATAAACACAAGTTTTACATGATGACTACTTTGAAGAAATACATTCATTCATGGATAAAATCCACCTGTAAGTGAAAGATATGACAAAATAGTAATTTATAAATTATCAAGGGTTCATGAGGGAGGGGGGAGCAAGGGGGAAAAATGAGGAGCTGATGCCAAGGGCTTAAGTGAAGAGCAAATGTTTTGAGAATGTTGAGGGCAACAAATGTGCAAATGTGCTTTACACAATTGATGTATGTATGTATGGATTGTGATAAGAGCTGTGTGAGCCCCGAATAAAATGATTTTTAAAAATAGAAAAAAAATCCACCTGTAAAATTATAATCTTTGTATATTTAAGTACATCATTAAAGGTAAGAAAAAGAAAGCTTTTATGGAAAGAAGTAATCCCTCTTGGAATCCACAATTTCGGGTTTATATTGCACAATAATAAGTGAAGATCTAAAGATGAATAATAAAATGGAAGAATAGATATAGCTCATTTTGTGAATGAAATATTCAAAAATCATGGGAAACATGATAGACATTATAAGGATAATTTATCATTATAAATACAATGATACCATTCCTTGTTTATAACAACCTTTTATTGTCTTTAAAAATACAATCAAGTTTAGTTTATTTTTGATTTTTCACCAAAAACTTACCTTAAAGAAAGACTTATGTAATCAAAGCTTTTAATAAGTATGAAATAGAGGTTTTTAAAAGAGTAAAATATTTATCCATTTTAATAGACTGTGGGTGGGGGATCATATTTTTAGGACCAGACATACAAGAAACTAGGGAAATGAAAAACTCATTTAAGCTTTAGAACAGGCACATTGAAACAAATACCTGGTACAATAGCTTGTGTCCTGATTTATGCATGTGTACCACAATTACTTCATTAAATAACTGATTTGGGTTTGGGTTTTCCTGGTTTCAGGCCACAGGTGAAGAAGGCGAATCCACTGCTGGTGGTCACAGCACAGTAGCAACCTGCCTCTCCTCCTTTGACCTAAGTTCTCCTCCTTCCTTTCCCTTCCGCTTCTTTCCTCTCTTCATTTCCTTGCCCTTTTCCACTCTCCTCTGGACTTGGGTCCACTGTCTTCCTCTCTTTCTCCTCCCTGCACCCCTCTTCATCGGATTTGCCTTGACTTGACTGTCCTTATTACTCCTCATTCCCACCACACCACCCTTCCATGTTCCTGTATTACTGAAAAAAGATGTCATTTTACGTACGCGTGTTAGGCTAGAGAAGCAAATCCATGACACTCACTTATGCACAAGAAAGAATTTTATATCGAGAAGTAATTCTGTATCATGAAAGCATGCCAGCCTAGTCCACCTTGAGTCCATAAACCCCATGCTAGTCCCTAAGTCCCACTTCGCGCTCACATAACCACACTCCGGTGATGCAGAAAGGGGAACTGCAAAGCAGGAAGAACACAGGCCAGTGGGTGCAAGTCCCAGGGATCCAAGGCCCGTGGGAACATGGCAGGTGTGGCAGCTTTCAGGGTCTGGTGGCCCACATGGGGCCACCTCTGGAGGCCGGCAGATTTCCAGCAGACAGGAAGCTGTCCTCTCGAGCCATCATTTGAAATAGGCTCTTTAAGGTTTGCTTCATCGTCAATTCTTCCTTTTATTTTAGCTATTCTCCTTTCATAAACAAGTTTAAGAGTCTCGTATGACAACCATTTGGTTCTTCTTTCTCCTGTCGTCTATGTTCCTTTGTGTCATCATGTATGATCTTCGTCTTTTTTTTTATGTATAAGACCGAGTTTTATGTCAAGAAGTAAATATATAACAAGAAAGCATCCCGCCCCATTTCAACTGAAGTCTGTAAGTCTGATACGAGTCCATGTCCCTCCTCAGACTCACACAGCCACATGCAATGATGCAGAATTCAGGAATCACAGGCTGTGGGTGCTGCATCCTGCGGATCTGAGGTCAAGGGAAATCTGGCCGGGATCCAGCAGCTCAACGGGTGCCCAGCAAGCCAGAAGGTGATGGAGAGAGCCTGCCTTTGAGCTTCTTGATGTCATCCCACAACTCGTCTAGTTTGGCCACGAGTGTGCAGTGCATCAAATCTGTTGTTGAGATATGGATTGTATTCAGGGTATCTTGGCTCTTGTGAACTTGTTTGAACTTTTTCAGCTTCAATCTGAACATACATAGGAGCAATCGATGGTGCGTTCCACAATAGGTTCCTGGGCTTGTTTTAGCTAACGGGATGGAGCATCTTCAATGTCATTTTCCAAAGATGCCGTAGAGTTGATTGCTATGTATTCCATTTCAGAGGTCTATATGTATAGTAAAAGCTCAATTTTGCCAAATTAGGCAAATGTCCTCAGTCAAAAATAACTGTAATACTGTATTTACACCTGCAGAGTCCCATCTTTGTCTAGAAGTCTATGTGCTAACTCATAGCTATAGTGTCAATTTTCTGATATTGTAAGGAAATATTTTAAAACTCATTAATTTTAGATTCTTCCCAAAATTAAATTATAACCTGGCATATTACCACAATATTTTTTTCTTTTTCTTTCCCTGTACACAGAAACTGATTTGGTGCTTGGCTCTCGCCTTCTGTTCTCCACTTTTCTTTAGATTTTTCTTGCAGTCTGCTGGGGCTATTACCCAGCTCCCAGTTTGATATTTATAATGCATAATTTTATGCTAGCAGAGCCACGCCATGCTGCTCAGTTGTTGGGTCAAACACTACTCAGCATGGTGCCATGAAAGTATTTATGTGAGATTAATATTTAAATCAGCTATCTCTGAAAGGAGCCAATTACTCTCAATAATGTGAGTGGGCATCCATCCAGCTGAAAAATTGCAAAGCCAGCATGTATGTTTTCCCAAAAAAAGAAAAAGAAAGGTTCTTACTTTCATTCGATGTAGAAGACTAGCTCTTCCCTGGCCCATGAATTGGGAATTATCCATTTCCATAATTTCATGAGACAACTCCTTTCAAGAAACCTCTCTCTATATATAGATAATTATAAACAGAGATAGGGAGTCCTGCTAGTGCAGAGGGTTAAGCATGGGATGCTGCTCCAGAGGTGCAGGAGGAGACTGTCTGCTCCAGGAAACATTTAGACCTTCCCAGGCTCCACGATGTCCTTCGTGGTCACTATGTTTCAGAAGCCAGCGAAGGAGGGGCTGTTTTACCTGCATGCAAGCACACATGTATATGTTGTTCTTGTTGGGTGTCATTGAGTTTCTGCTGACTCTTAGAGATGCTGTATACAAGCAAACAAACAGCAACAACAAAAAGTAAGCATTACCCAGTCCAGCACCATCTGCATCATTGCGCATACGCGTGTGCGTGCGTGCGTGCGTGCTTGCGTGCGTGTGTGTGTGTGTGTGTGTGTGTGATTTCTGCGAAGAACTAATAATAGCCTCGCAGCAACATCAGTTACATGAAACAGGTAATTTTGTTTTCTAACCACTCATCCTTTCCCACCATTTATATAAGCTTTCTAGCTTTTATTATTTGGTACTTAACGATCCTCTATCTCCTTTACCTATAGCTGCTTGTTATAAAAGCTACATAATATATGTCGTTATATAATATAGGCTTGCCCGATTTTTTTTCTAATGTAGTGTTCAATTTCCAAAGTTATGTGGAACCAACTTTGTATGTAAACAATTCTAAAGTGCATGATGGAAACCAGAATCATGTTTTTTAGCATCACACTTATGGGAGAAGCAAAATGAAGGGTTTGCTTTAGAATCCTTTATAATGCAGTACATGTGAGTATGTGAGCAAACCCACTGGAATGGAAATTGCTTATACTAAATGTGAGACGGGGTTGCTGAATATTGTGGCATTCACCACAAACTAGTAATTACCTACCATAATTTGGAGAAACTTCTATGTCCAACAACTATTTGTGACAATCTGCCATTTTGCTAGATTATATAATATGTTGAGTGGCTCATATTTTAATTACTTATTACGTCTAAATTAGTATCCATTATTATTTAATGAACCTCTATCAACCTTTAGAATAATTTTATATGAATATTATTTTATTTGGCTAAATAATATTTTTTTTCTTCAGATGGATGGATTTTCAAAAAAATCTCTTTTTCACGTTCCCATTTCAAATATTTGCAGGGGACTTTTTGTACTATAATGAATCTTTTGATGTGACTGTGAGGTGCCGTCGTGTTGGTGTCGACCGACAGCGATCCTGGCACAATGGAAGGAATGCTCCTCCGTCCTGCGCCATCCTCACAGCTGCTCCTGTGCTTGACCCCATTGTCGCAGCCACGGTGTCACTCCATCTCCTTGAGGCCCGTCCTCACGGGGCTTTACCATTGCTTCTTCAGACACTAGTCTTTCTTACCAAGATGTCCAAAGTGTGGTAGACAAGTCTCACCATTCTTGCCTCTAAGGACTTGTTTTGGTATTGTTCGTTTTTCAAACTGTCAGATGCTTTAATGCTTTGTTCCATAGTGTAGCTACCGCTTCCACAACGTTAATCAAATCACAGAATAACAAAGATAAAAACAAACACAAAAAACGTCTTAAAGCCAAACGCCCAGCTAACTACTACCAAGTTGATTCCAACTCATAGCGGCTCCACAGGACACTGTAGATCTTTCCCGGGAGGGGGTGGGGGTGGAGTTCCTAGACTGTAGCTCTTTCCAGGGGCAGAAAGCCCAGTATTGCTGACTCAGCTGCCTGGAATCCACCCATCTCACCACTGGGGGACTTTCGCATGTCTTAAGTCCCCATTTAATGTGTATGTAAGACAGGGCGCAGAAAAGGGTCTTCTCTTAACCTGCATTTCCCTTACATTATTTATATATTAGTTACTTGAATCTTCTCCTGCAGAACGCATGCTTTTTATCACCTTTATCAATCTACAACTCCAGGCCTAATTTTTGTTGGTGGTGTTTGTTGTTGTTGTTGTTTGCTGCTATGGCTAAACCTATCCGGTTCCTTGGTGAACAGCCATCTCTCTTCAAATGCTTGAGTCTTTCTTTTCCTCAGAGATTAAGTAAATATTCATATTTAGACTACTT